GCCTTTTGCAGTGAGATAGTCAATGGTGCATGAGAGTGGTACAGAAGTCAGTTGACGTTATCATTAGTATCCTGGATGCAGCTACCATCCTAATAACTCTGTAAATCACTTTTCCCCCTTGGACTAAAAATATTTACAAACTGCAAATTTTGCCCCTTTTTTAAACCGGAGAAAAAAAATCTTAGTTTTAAAAAAACATAAACAGCTTCTTTTGAATTGTTTCTGCGATTATTTTTAAAGATAAAATGTTGAGATAGTAAACTGAAGTTCAATATTTGAGTTGGTTTCTTTGCATTTTTTTATCATCCAAATTAAGTTCCTGTACTTAAGGTTTCTCAATTTTAATGGTAAAAGATATTGATAGAAATATTTGTTAAATGACATTAGGACTATTTGCATTGACTTCATACATTTCATTTGAACCTACCAAGTACCCACTATTACAGGCAACTTGGGTTGTCAGTGTCCTGCCCAATCACACAAGCAAAACCTACAGCGATGGATTCAACCCCTGACCTGAAGGTGAATAAGCTGCACCACAACCACTGTGCCAAACCGCTCCCATTAATCAATGGAAGGTTAATTCTGGATTTCAAAGGGGAAATTATTTTAGATGGTTGCCCCTCTGATTTTCAGGGTTGTCTTGAAAAATTACCGGTATTTTATTTGCATGAGGTTGTGGGGTACAAAATATTTAGTACAATAACCCCTTATTCCTTGAATAAAAGCTGCTATTTTCATCAGCATTGATATTTTTTATATAATAAACTAATCTACTGAATCTTGCCCACATCTTGCCATGTGGTCATGTGTAGCCTATAATTCATGTATGACTAGGACAGTTAGTATAATATCATCTACTGTATTACACTCCTGGTGGAAGAAACGTAGTGATGAAATATATACCTAAACAGGTCTAGACATTTACTTGATTTTATTTACATCTCAAACATCTCATCCTGTTACATCTCAAAATAAACATTAACTGTTTTTTTTTCTGTGTGGACATTTTTTTATCTACCTCATAAAAATGAATAAGATGAAAGTGATGGTTTGAATTTTATTTAGATTTTCAGACATCAGAACATCTCATCATGTTTCATTTGACATTTTTCTATCTTCCTTAAAGGCGGAAGCCAATCAAAGTTTCCCAGCAAGACAATTTTTATTTACAGCAGGTCATGTAAACTTCTCTATTTAAATGGTCTTTTATCATCCCTTTGGACAGCACTGATGCTGATATCATTGCTTGATTTATAAGTTCTTTGTGTGCCTGAGCATTCTCCTTCTCATATATTGTACATTCATCTGTCAGACAATAGCAATACAGCTATACATATATGTCCTAGATTTAAACAGAGAAACTGATAAATTGTCCTGAATAAAACTGTACAGGATGATACATCTCACAATTGATCAACTGTAATTTGCTGTAGGCATTGCTTGTAAATCACCACTCCACTGAATTAATCAACTTGTCATATGAAATCAGGTTGACAAATCCTCTTTTTTTCTTATATTTGTATTGTTCACATCCTTTGATGTGCGAGAAGAAATCTGGAGTTTGTAGGATTCAAACAAAGCATCTTTACTATTTATCAAGCAATTAAAACTTAGTAGTTCACTAGTAAGCTACTAGTAGACATAATGAGAAGGCAATGTCACCCAACCTCCACAACTAAGTAGATTAATATTTTTACCTTATTTTATAAGAATGTTGTGGTTATCGGAACCATCAAAGCTCCGGATATTTGTAATTTTATTTTTTTACTCGGAGAACGACAGATAAAATTAGAAAGATTAGAACAAATTAATTTGAGGAAATGTTGTTTACAAATTGTTCACATTTTTCACTTCATATTTTAGTGCTAATAATATTCTATTGGAAGCAAGTCTTGATTTTATCTGTTATACTAACTCAGCATCGGGCTATGCATTCAAACATTAAACATATTTTAATATTCTGACTCATCCAGGAAAGCCAGTGTATGTTTGCTATGACTATATGAGGATCATGACTTTACCACATTAAGAATATCCTTTAAAAGGTCTGTAAAAGAATCATAGACAAAATTATGTCCATTGTGGTGTGAGTCTTTAGTTTATAGGGTGAGGGTGGGGAACCTGGTTACACATTTTCTAGAAAGGATTTCTCTGGAGATGCACTTTGATGTCAATGTAGCCACATAAATTATAATATTTTCTGAAGCATACAGTAGTTCATGCTAAGTATTTTTTGTGTTTTTACTAAAACTACTTAGTGTATCTTATGATATAAACTTATTTTTCTTCTCATATACAAATGCTTTGTTTTTCTTTTCTGTTTTTAATTTGATATGTCACCCTTAGTAGATATCCTTATGTGGAAGGATTACTATTAATTCATTGCCAGTTTTGATAAATAAATTTTGAAGTTTATGACAATTTATTTAACATCTAAATTTTGTTCTGTAAAGTCATGCTTGGGATGTCCTTGTTAAAATATTTCAAATCATGCAACAACACCAAAAATTATTGCTAGTGGCGGAAAACCAGCGAAAGAGTTTGAGAAAGTCCATATGCTTCGAGATGATATCATTTGTCCATGTGCCAAAATGATTGTCGGTGATTAATTGATGAAAGAAGAATTTCAAAAATTAATGAATCCTTCTGTTCACCTTGAATCTGACTGTGCTGGGATAATGTTTTCTGCTAGTAATTAGCTTTCTTCTTTTAGTCCCAAAATGGAATAGTCTTTATCTGGTAGGAGAAGACCATCCTTGAGGACACGGATGAATTTCTCAGGCAAACCTCTAGGCTAGAAACCTGATTGCAATGCAATTAAAATGTGTAAACACAACACTAGTTCAGTGTTCATATTTATCCTGATGTTTTAACTAAGCAGGTTGTATTATCTAATGCCTAGCAGCTAGGTGAAGGTAGAGAATAACATGTGCTGAATTGGGTAACCATTCAACAACTTTCTTCCACACCTCATTCTCATATGTCCAAAACAACATTGGCCCCTGTGGACAAGTCCAACAAGGTAACTCCTACTTTTTCAAAATATGGGTACAGGGGTTTACTGTCTTTATCCAACTTGGGACAGCAACTGGAAACCAAAACCGTGATAATTTAGGCTGCAGATAACGGTATTCTTGGCCCGCTTTGACCCCTGGCCTCAGTGTTCTCAAATCCATGTATCATTACCCATCCCAACAATATTTAATATTTGAGGTGTGATGGTAAACCAATGTTTCAACATAGTATGGCCATAGGCCAATGATTTAGTCAATTTCACCAGGCTGTAAAATCCTATGCGCTTACCTACTTGTCCAGATTATTAGCTGCCTCAGGGACGTGTCTTTAGGTTCACGGAGGAAGTTTGCGGAAAGGAAGTGCTGCAATGTTTTTCTGAAATTAGTTGGTGAAGGATTAGAGTGGACACAGCGTCATAGGAGAATGAAGGAATGCTGTAGGTAATGCCACCAATTCTGTTAATTGTTATCAGCATATTGTAGCCAATATTTTCACATCATTGCTCATTTATCGCGCTGTCTTCGCTAAAAAGTGGTTTACTCTTATGGGGACTGGTTTTCTTTCCTGTCGGAACTCCCTAATGTGTGTGTCCTATAAAATCGACATGCTTGACAAATAACAAATGCTGTACTTTATGAATCACTACAGTTTAAATATAATGCACACAAGGTGAACATAACATGCTGCGAGTGTTGGCTCAAAACTGGGCTGGGAGGAAACTTGTACAGGAATTTTTTCCCTATAGATCCATTATTTTTAGTTTCAATTGGATTTTCCTTGATTTTCATAACATTTAGTATGCAGTATTACTGTATACTATAAAGACTGTCAGTGCTAAAATTGAGGAACACTCAAAAATCGATAGTAACTCATAATTGCACAAAAAAGCGTATCAAAAATATTATATATTTAGAATACAAGCGCCAACACACACACTTTTTCATTATGAAGCATAGATAAATTATCTGTTAGTAAAACCTGGGAATACACATCATTGCACTTTTTTCCAATCCTGGATTGATAAGTGTAATGGCCCATGATAGGAGGTGTTGTTAATATTATTAGGATATTCATTCAGTCTACTCACTATAACTACTTAAAGTAAAGCTATTTAAAACACAACTGCTTAATGACAACCATTAAGATTTGTCAACTGTAAATTTGTGTTTTGGCTGTGTATGTTACAAAATGTCCTTGTCTCTGCAACGTCCATCTTTAAAGTCGATGTTAACAGTTTGCCAACTTTGCCAGTCCCTTAGGGTCCAATTCTCGTGAAATCGAAAGTTTCAACTCTCAATATATGAGGTGCCATGGCAGGCAGAATGTTGTTATCATCACAGCAACTTACTTGTTGTCTTCTGTTTTTCTTTGCGTCGCATGATTCACTGCATATCTGTACATTTAGCCGTAAAGACCGGCAACTTCTCAGAGCCGTTGTGCCATTGAGATTGCAGGTTCGAATCCCTTGGGGTTTACATTTCCTCTGTGGTAACCATCAATGGTGATTAGCTTATCAAAGTGCGTTGGTTTCCTATCTATTTTCTCCTTACGGAGAAGCGGATATTTGTCGTCTAGTGTGCCATGCTTTTAACTCAAATCACATTTTTAGAAATTCCTTTAGTAGGTTTCCGAATTTTACCTTTCTATTGTGTTTTATTAAATTGTTTTATAATGCTTCTCAAGTACTGTAATTAATTATGGTGCTTCTTTATTTTGAGGGGAATGAATTCATACTTAAGTGATAATATTTAGAATCATTTATGAAGTTGGAAATATATTGATTGCAATTTTTCTGAGATTAACCCATGGCCCAAAGATTAGAGGCAAATTTTAAAATATATCATTTTATATAGAACTTCATTTTAAAATTTAATGTCAATCATTTGTGCTTTTTATGCCTATAAAAAAAAAAAGTAGTTACATGATATGTATAAAGTTGAATATTTCTGTATAAATAAATTTGTTTTTTTCTGTTTTTATAGACACAACGATGTGTAAAACATCTCCATTCTTTAAATGAGAGTGAAAATTTGATCGCACAAGACATGAAATCTTTGTCACCGGAACAGGTTAGTTAAGTCATTTTAATTCCATTATATTTTTTTATTAATTAATTTTATTTATTTGGTATAGAAATGCTCAAAAAGAAAAAGTCTGATACACAAATTTGAGCCTAATGCTATTTACTAATAGCATTATATAACATTTAAGCATTGTTAAAAATGTCACAATTGTTAATTATGCAATTTTTTCGAATAAAGTGTTTAGTGGGGAAAGGTAAGGGAGTATACTACCAATGCTTTAAAGTCTCATCAGTCTGTCATGATGAGAACAATAATTGTTCTTTAATATTTAAATCTATTCATTAACATCAGAGGTCAATACAGGTAAAATATGTCAGCTTATAAGGTGTAATGATATAAGTTATTGATTTATTACGTATGTGGAATTGCCTATGAGTGGCGTAAGCAATATAATGTGTGTGTAATTTCATTTTCATTTGAACGCATTTTATGTTATGATAACCGTTGTTGTCAAGTGGTGGAACGCAGCATTAGTTTACATTAATCTAATTTCAGTCTATTTTAAGATGTCCTTATGGTATTCCTCAGCATTTATTTTGCTTCTTAAGTGGTATCATGTATTTGGAAAAACACTAGAAAACCTGGGTATGAATCAAACATGTTGTGATATCACCTGATGTTTATTTTCAAGATCAACCATATTGTTTATTTTTAAAATTATTGTACAAGTTGAAAGGAAATACTAGTCTAGAATTAAAGCAGTTAATGGATAATCCAATTCCCTATATTAGCATTATATTTCAGCCTAACAATTATTTAATCAAATATCAATGTTATTTTAGGTACTCTATGTATTAACAGTAATGTGAATTTTTCAACTAATCCCAAAAGAAATAATTATGTAGGCCACTGTAAGACCTTATTGTATAGAGAAATATTTACTTGTCAGATTGTTAATTTTGATGTATTTTTTTTTCAAATCATCATTTAACATCTAACCTATGGATCTCTGGGGTTGGCAAATGATGTAGTTTCTATCAGTACATTATTTTTTATGCATCTCAGAGACGTAGTTGAAGACAGGTGTCATCATTAATTCCAAGACACTTGGGCTCCTGTCGGAATACTGATGTAAATGCCGACAGCAACATTTATACAGCGCTTAATCATCTTGATTGACTCCTTCGCTGTACATCTGTCCAGCACTAGTTTTTTTTCGTTACAATCTGTCCCCCTATACAGATACAATTAGGATAATATTATTTATATTGCTCCAGAGAACAAAAAATAGGTAAACTACTTTAACAGATTATGATTATAGTCTCAATATAGACAAAGGATTTGTGTACAATGCATTGAATATGATAGGTGGAGAATAAAACATGTTTTACTTTTGTTGATTAATCATTCCATTTAAGATTGTTGGTTAAATCTACTTATGTAATGGATTAAAATTAAAACATCTAAACCTTTCTGAGCATGATTGAGCAGAGGATGAAGAGATGGTATTATAATGTTTTGACTGTAAATGATATATTGAAAAAAGAAAAAGGAAGGAAGGCCAAAAAGAAAGATGTTTTAGATACGTTAAAAATTGGAAGTTAAGGAGAAGTTTCAAGAAAAGCACAGAGATATAAGTGAAGTACCTGCAGTGTCGCATCACTTACTCATAATCGGAATTGCAGAAACATATACCCCTTTTACGCTGCAAGCAAAACTCCGGACACAACCAGGGATTTTGCAATACCTGGGCTAGAAACTCCCGAGTTGTGGTTGGTGTAAACGTAAAAAAATACAACGCGGGTTGCCAAACATCCCGAGATCGATGTGCGGGACGCATTCAGCATTGGACAACCCAGGTGCATTCCAGAGTCGTCAAAGTAAACAACACCAAATTCGATTCCGGAATTAGGCCTTACCTGGCACCTATCGCAGCTGTGATCAGGTAGGCCTAAACTTTGCTAGCAACGGGCTAGGCCTGGACACTTTCCAACTTAAACCCCCTGCGCAGTAAATGCCTACAAACCCAGCCAGTTTGTTTTACTATGTACCTGTGAATAACTTCTGGACAATCCAGGATGAACCTATATAACTACCTGGTAGGTACAGTAAAAAACAGGGACATTTCCATTTAATTAGTTGCACCTCAGTGTGTCTAACTGCACTTGATGTGACAAATTGGAAAAAACAACATTGATTTTAGCAAACAGGCAAGAGTTTCAACATCAAGTCAATATGGCGACCCTGACAAAGAAGTGACAACTTATGGTAAAGTATGATAACCACAACTAGAACATCATATTAAATATATCAACAAGTCCAAACCAACAAGAATGGCACTTATATTGCATCAGGATGTTCCAAACTAGAAGCACTCGGATCTACTTTAACTTTTAATTGCAGTATATAATAACATGGATATTGACAAGTAAACACTTATCAATAAATTTTTGTGAAAACGTGCCTCTGGACTGTATTGTGATGAAAGACATGTTTTAGAGGTCCCTCGAAGGAAGATGCTTGTTCGATATATTTGCAGTTGACACAATTTTTAACAAGCATTGACCTATATAATTGATTAGAGTAATCTTTCAACATGCCTGATAATTGTAACTCTCACCTCATGCTAGCTAAATTCTTAGGTAAATGTGTGAAAAATTAACATGCTATTGAATTAGATAAGTTACTCTTAAAATCAATCAATCTCCCATTTGTAATTTTTTTTTTATTGGTATTGCATTTCGTAAGTTTGGTAACTATTTAGGTTAGTTTTTTTTTTTAAAATTGTATGTTTGCTGAGTGTTTATATAAATGTTGGAACACATATAAGCACTTTCGTTAGCTGCACAATACTTTGCACATTACAGTTAAAATATTGTATTGAAAATTTTCAACACAGAATAATACATTTTAAGGTTATATTGTAATAACCTTGACAGACTATATAATCAATATTTGTGCACACATTTTTAATGATATATTTATGTATATAAGGGCATTTATTTTAATTTACTTATTAAACTTTTTATATAATACCTACCGGTATCTATATTTGAGTCGTGTTTGATTTTTTGAACTGTAGGACGATGAGGAAGGCGTGTGGGCATAAACTACTAATGATACATCACAGCTTTACTCATGGTACGATTAATGGCCTTCATTTGCTTTGCCCTCCCAGTATACCTCCCCTGTATACATATTTGCATGTTTTCCACCTGCATGTACGTTTTGTAAAGCTTTAGTTTCACCTGTATTCAGCTTTGTTTCTTCTAATGTTCCATCTTAAATCTTGTACTAAAAGAGTCAAACAATACCAGTATTTCAAATGCATTTAAGGTATCATCATGCAAAATAATTAAAATTACTTTACAGGGAACAGTTTTGTTCTCTGCTTAAAAATGAAAGTTAATGATATTATGGTACCTCTTTTGTATATCTCATGTACTAGTAATTTTTTCATAGAGAAACATTTTCAGGTTGATTGAATCTAAGACCCACTAATTAAATTATGATAATAATTATTAGATATAGATAAACAAATTATTATTGGTTTCCAATTGAAAAGTAGAAAATATTGTCCTCATAATCAACATATAAAATTATTCTCTTTCTGTGTACAGTAAACCCTTAAATTGGCTGGCAGAAAGACTTTCATACTAGCATCTCTAATATCTGCAAATACTGTTTTAAAGGCAGGTTCGGGAAAAAAAACCAAATTTTTATATGTTGTACAACTGATATTTCTAAGACACAAAAAGGGTGTTTGATGGGAAACCTGGGAACGGTTAGTGGAATTTAGATTTTTAATATGTAAAAACTGGGGGACAAAAGTGGCGTAACCACTCTTTTTTCAACCTTCCCCCAGTTCAAACATTCCCCTGTTTTTTGATCAATCACCCTTTTTGTGGTTTATGAAAATCAGTTAAATATAAAAAAATTTGTTAACCTCGGGAGTCTGGCTTTAATCTCGTTGCAAATCATAAATTACAAAATGTTTTTATTGATTGAGGGGAAATTTTTCCCAATTTTTACAGTATCTTCAAATTCTGACAGGATGAGAAGAAGAATTGACCCTGATTTTGAACTTACTCATACTTAATATTAGATGCCTGTAACTGCATGACCTTGTATCCTATTATTAATTTACTACACAAAATGTTTTTAGATGTTTCGGATGCATGTTTATTGTTGTGGATATTTTCACCTGCTTTGGTTGTTCGTTTTGTCAGTTCAGTGTTAAATAGTCTCTGTTTTAGATTAATGTATTATTTATTTTATGAAAATTGCGTTTTTAGAAATAAAGGTTTAGTTTAGCGTGACTACATTTGATGGTCATTTGATATCGTCTTGATTACAGTGATTAGTATTTGTTATTTCCTCCTTTTTCCTTGACTAATCTTTATAATTGTTGATGTTATCAGTGTCGAATGACATCCCTGGCATACCTCCTTGCCCCTAATTTCTTGCCACATTAAATTGGCAAAGGTTACGTTTGTAAGTGATACATTTGGTATTTTTTAGGCTCACTTTTTAATAACTTCAAATGTATTTTAAAATTTCCTGTTGTATAATTACTATTTGAATGTATTTATATAACAATTTCGTAGCTTAATTACTAATGTATATAACAATTTCCTATTGTAATTATTTAAATGTAGGCATATAACAATTTCCTATTCAATAATGATTAATCCAATTTTTTAACTGACTGTGTATTGATTTAATTGCTTTATTTTCTCTTTTCTGTAGCGATGTTTTATGGTCTTTTTTACTTCCCCGAATGTTGTCCTGGGTTCTGCTTTTCCTGTGCATGGAGTACTTGGACAGGAATACTTGTACTGTAGTTTTTCCATCTGCTGTTATGACAAATAACTTAAAATTCATTTTGTAACCATCAAAGTACTTTCTTCAACAATATTCATTGCGTCAAGAAATACTTGTCAATTCTGTTGGTATCCCCTTGGGGGAATTACCCCTCACGTGATTTAATAGTTTTTTAAAGACCAATTTTTTCAAAGCCAGGAAGTGGACATACTTCTGCTCCA